TGTCCAGCAATGTGACAGTGGTCCTAGAGGAGCGGGACGTCCTCTCACGGCTCATCTGTGAGGTGCAGCACTCGGCATCACCGACCTCGCTGCTGGGGATCTACCAGCTCAACAGAGTCCTGAGAGGTGAGGGCTGGGGCATTTGTGCTGGGGTGTCCTGCTCCTGTGGGGCTGGGGGTCCTGGAGTGGGTACAGTGGGTCGTGGGGTGGGGACAGGACACCCTGATGGCAGCAGAGCCAGGGACGTCAGACAGCAGGCGCTGCCTCTCTTCCCAGTTTCCCCCAGTGTCGATGTGAGCGCTAACCAGACGAGCCCCGTTGAGGTGAACAAGACCATGAAATTCACCTGCCACGTGAAGGGGTTTTACCCAGCAACTGTGGCTGTTTCCTGGCTGGAGGACGGGGTGAAGATAAAGGAGGAGAAGGACTCCCGGCCGTCGGTGTTCCGCCAGGGCTTGTTGGAGCTGAGGAGCCAGCTGGAGGTGCAAGCGACAGAAGAGAAGAATGGGTCCATGTTCACCTGCCTGGTGGTCCACGATGCTCAGGCCCCTGTCAACCAGTCAGCCATCCTGTGGATCGCCAGCCCGGACCAGCAGGGACTGAGCAAGGGGTCCCAGATATACAGTGGTGCGTCAGAGCTGGGTGAGGTGCCTGCCAGGGTGGCTGTATGGTGTAACCTCCTGAGAAAGCCCAAAGCCCCATCAAAATCTGGTTGAAGGACTAAATCTCTGTACCAGGGGGATGGAGGGTGTGATAGTGGCAGGCTTCGAGCTGTCCTCCTCAGGGCTTCATGTATAACTGGGCCAACCCCAGTTGTGAGTCTGCAGGGACTGGGGGTACCAGGTTCCTGGGCCATGGTGACCTTTTCATTCATGTTTCAGGCAATTTGCTCATCTACATTGTGGTGGCCGTGGTCTGCTTGGTGCTGGCCCTGCTGGTGGCTGCAATTCTGTACCTCATCAGGACAAAGCAGATGAAGGGTAAGGGAGCTGAGTGCGTGGCAGGGAGGCAGCTTCTTTCTCTCTCTCACATTAGTGCTTGGACAATTCTTGGTGGCTCCTGCCCATTGGGATGATGGATAGAGGCGCCCTGGCTGTTTGCAGGCAGCAGAGAAAGCGCTCTGCTCTGTCTGACCCCTGCCCTCTCCTGTAGGGAATAATGGAGTGAAACTCTGGGCAAATGTAGGCATTTGCCTCTGGGAAGAGATGTCTCCTTGCCCTTGTAGCAGCCTCTGCTCCATGCCTGGGGAAATGGGGGGGGGGTTATGTTGTTTCCTGGATTATTTCTTTCCTAAACTATTTCTCTTCCAGCAGGTAAAAGCTCACCAACTGCCAGGTGAGTGCAGTTCTTCTCTAGTCACTGGGTA